GCCGCCGCGCTTCCCAAGCGGCGCACTATCCAGTGCGCCACCGGGCCGGCCCGGCCATAATCTTTTTTTTGACAACCGCCTAAAGTGATAATCACTAATACTCACTTATTAAGCATTTACTCTGTGCCAGATACTGTGCTAAGTGTTTTAATCCTCATGAAAACACTCTTCTTATCTCTGTTTTAGAATCAAGGAGAGACTTGGAGAGGTTCAATAACTTGCAGAAAGTCAGATAGGCAAAACTCACACCCAAACCTAAACCCCCTGCTGTATGTAATACTGTAAAGAAACAAAAGCAGAAATGAGTCAGCAGTCCTGAGGGTGGATCTGTGTTATCAGCCCTCAGTTGCTTCCCTCTTGCCCTTGGCTCTGAGTGGTGGAGAGCTGTCTAAAGTCACATGGATGGGGCTGAAGTCACAGCTGAACTGGTGTTGAGGTGGCTGTGGAATCCAACTGATGCAGATCTAACTTGGCTCAACCACTCACTAGCTGTGTGATTGTAAACAAGACTCTTAGGCTCACTGAGCTTCAGCTTCTGTGTCTGTAAAGAGGAATATTTGCAGGGCTGTGTGGTTTAGTGGAGCAGGTAAATGCACAGATTCTAGAGCCAGACTGTCGTTTGAATCCTAACCGCACCAGCCATTACCTATGTGACTTAAGATAATTTAATCCTTCTGGGTCTCACTGTCCTCAGCCGTAACATAGGAAAAATAGAACCTCCCTCATGGGGTCTATATCAGGATTAAATGAGTTCATACAGGTCATGTGCTCAGCATGTGATATAGATTGAATTATGTCCCCCAAGTTTTATGTATCAGTAGTTTGATCTCCACTGTGACTGTTAAGAGGGTGGAAAATCCTATTATGGTAATTGAAAGGTGGGGCCTTGAAGAGGTGATTTGATTCTGAGGTCCATGCCGTAATGAATGGATTAATAATGGTGGTCATGGGCGTGGTTCTGAGAGCTTTAAAAGGAGAGGACATGAGAGTCTTTCTCTCTCTGCTCCTGCCTTTCTTGTAACATGATACCTTGTGTCACCACCAAAGAAGACCCTCACCAGATGTGTTCCCTGGACTTAAGACTTCCTAGCCTCCGAAACTGTAAGCAATAAAAACTGTTTTTTTAATAATTTTCCCAGTACCAGATATTTTGTTATAAGCAATAGAAATGGGCTAATACAACATGATTCCTGGCATAGTCAGANGAAAGGTGGGGCCTTGAAGAGGTGATTTGATTCTGAGGTCCATGCCGTAATGAATGGATTAATAATGGTGGTCATGGGCGTGGTTCTGAGAGCTTTAAAAGGAGAGGACATGAGAGTCTTTCTCTCTCTGCTCCTGCCTTTCTTGTAACATGATACCTTGTGTCACCACCAAAGAAGACCCTCACCAGATGTGTTCCCTGGACTTAAGACTTCCTAGCCTCCGAAACTGTAAGCAATAAAAACTGTTTTTTTAATAATTTTCCCAGTACCAGATATTTTGTTATAAGCAATAGAAATGGGCTAATACAACATGATTCCTGGCATAGTCAGACTGGATAATGTCAGGAGCTTTTATGAATACAATTATTAGTAATGCACCTCAGCTCTTAGGGCAGTGCAGAGCAGATAAGTGCCATTATTGTCATTGCCTCACAGTGCCTGCTCTCTCTGCCTCCCTTCCCAAGTCAGTCATGTTAATCTTACCATAATGGCCAACTGGGACATGGCCATATAATGTGGAAATAGTCTCCAAGGGCAGGAATATTCCTTCTGTGTGGATGGTCTGAGGATTCATACTCCAGGAAGACCCTAGACTGTAGTACATTTTACCCTTAGGATTTAACTAGAAGTGAACCAACACTGTGTTAAGCAGATCCAACCATAAATGAATCACTGCGTCTACATTACAGTCCATATGGAAGAAAACCATGGCAGCCAGTACAACTCCCTTAACGTGGCTGACATCTCTGTCATGTTTGATGCAAGTTATAAATTGAGTAGAGGCTAGAATGATCAAGTTTTATAAATGTTTTAAAGATTACCAGATTGATTTGTCTGTTCTCCTGGGAAGAGATTTTCTACATGGACTTACTTAGTATTTCATCTCTTGGTGCATGGCTGGTGCCCAGTGTAATTCTTTACTTCTGTAAAAACTGATTTCACTCTCTACCCCTGCCCTACCGTCCTACACTTTACTATTAAGCCTTGAAACCCCACAGGTTTGATTTTCAGCCCCTCCATTCTAATCTAATTCTCTCTGCCAGTTCTCCCAATTTAATTCTCCCTTCCAACATGATTAAATTTACCCAACTCTCTCCATCTCAAACCCATATCCATATTTGAACTAATTTCTATTCTTGAACTTGAAAATGCGTATCTATGCTAAGCTTCTATTCCCAGACCCCTTGTCAAAACCTCATTCTCCTGTGGCCTTATCCTCCACTGAAACTCACCACCATTTAAACTCATCCCAGATGTTCAGTAGATTTAGGTGCTCTGGAGTGATAAATTTTTAAGATATATGTTTAGACCAATGGTTCTCAAACGTTAGCCTGCATTGGAGTCACCTGAAAGGATTTTTGAAACACTGATTTAATAGGTCTGGGGTGGGGCCCGAGAATGTGGATTTCCAGGTGTTGCTGATGCTGCTAATGCAGACAATCCACTTTGAGAACCACTGCTTAGACCCTTCTCTCAAATATCAGATTCTCTGGTGCAGGAAGAAGGGGTATCCTGAGCAGTGGTGCCCCAGACTGGGGCTGGAGTTCTGTTAGTGAAGAGTCCTGCTCCAGTTGCATTTTCTCATAGCTTCTATGACAGTCTTATTTCTAAAAGGGTCCCTGCACATTGGCTATGCTTACGTAAAAGTGATAGAGATAAGTCTGAAATCGTTGCCTGACATAGTAGACTCTAATTAAACAATAGATGTTGGTCAATCAACAGTTATTTATTGGGTGCCTACTGTGTGCCAGGTACTGTACCACTGCAGAGGATATGCTGGTGAACAGGCAGACAAGTCATTACTCTAGTGGACTTTATAGGGACAGGAGGCAGCCCATAAACACGTAAACTAATAAATACTTTAGGTAGTGGAAGGCGTGATGTGAGTGACTTTGCTGAATTGATGGTAGTTTTGCAATACTGGAAGATTATTTACTCGATTTTTTTTTGCTATTCACTTTGTAACAACTACAGACAGGACACACTTTTAAATTTAACCTGCATTACTAACATTTTGTCCA